CCCCCCCCCCCCCCCCCTCCTCCAATCAATCCACGGCAATCTGTTCTTTGTATGTACAGCAAACGCAAGGATGATGCCAAGCTTGTCGCTCATCCTCGTGAAACGCACGTACCCTCTGGGCCGGTGGACCCCGGCGTTTTACGCTCCATCTCGGCATATCGTAGGGATGCGAGTTCAATGGTCTATCGACTACGGCGTTTCCATGAGCGCATCTCCCGGATTCACCCCTGCCGTCCCCGTATTCAACCTCGCTCGTTTCGCTTCCGTCGACTGGCCTTGCTTTGTCACTGCCCTGGCTTCTTCACTTTTCAGATGAAGGACGGAACGGTGTTTGTGGTGTCTGCGCGATCGGCCCGCGGCATGGCGCACCAGGACCTCACCAAGGACTGGGGGGTTGCCGTCTGCCTCCTCGATGGGATCAAGGTACAGCAGATGCGGAGCACGTAGTATGTAGCTGGTGCGCTGCTTGTTTTGTGTGCTGCGGTGAGATTGCTGCGCGCCACAGAGTTCTGGCAGCAGTTCATATGGTACGCCGGGCTGAAGCGAACAGGAGCGCGCGTTTGGAAGGGGCAACGCAGGAGCACGGCGGCGTAGTCCGGGTACCGCTGCTGCGCTGGAAAGTCGACCCCACATGCCCCTCCGCCGTTCGGCGTTCCTCGTAGCGATCAGTTGGATTGTTGTGTTGTAGCACCTCCCTGTTTTTTTTGCGTTTTGGTACTGCTGTACCCCGTCACAACCGCTCTTGCTGGTGTTGTCTCCACACTACACTAACCTGAGAACAGTTCCGATCCCTGCTCAGTATCTCCTATCAACCCCCCCGGCACTGGTCCAACCGACGCTGACGCTTTTCGTGGCCACAGACTGGAAACCAACCCCAAAACCCTTACACCCGTTTTTTCTTTTGCGCCGCCAACAAATGCCACGCACCCCAGGGGAACGACCTGATGGGACTACCCCTGCGCGCCCCGAACGCCAAGTACGACACCGTGTACGTGCTCCCCCTGCTGACGATCTCCATGGGCAAGGGCACAGGGGTGGTGACGTCCGTGCCTTCCGACGCGCCGGACGACTACGCGGCGCTGCTGGAGCTCAAGGACAAGCCGGCATTCCGGGCGAAGTTCGGACTGGAGGACCACATGGTTATGCCGTTCGAGGTGAGGGGTGGGGGTCATGGTCACCCGCTGTTGTTGCCATTTTTTAGAAAGTTAACATAACCACACAGAAGCACCCGTTCGAGATACAGCCTCAGTCGAAAGGGATGTGTTGGAAGTCTTTTCAGTTTGTGGATTGAAACCGACTGGAAACTGGACTTATTTTGAGCTTGTGTAGCTGGATACATTCTTAACACACCGGTCGCCCCGGTGGTCTAGTGGTTTCCTCGCAATCCGCTAGTCGCAGAGCTCGTGAGTTCGAATCCCCATGGGGTGAATAAGAAATTTGCGGGTGAATAAGAAATACAGCTAAAAAGCTTTCGCTAGTACCAAACGTCGACGTTAGCACCGTTGACAAAGGAAAAGGGACGGCTGGACCCTTCTCGCGACAAAATAAAATTCAGCACGCACCGCAGGAACGTGGGGCACGAAAAGAAATAAACAGAAGAAAACGACCCTGGTGTTTATTACCCCCTCCTGTGTGACCCTTGATGGTTGTAGTTGTACGAAAAAGTACACTGAAAAGTGTAGTACGCTACATACGCTGAAAAGTGCAGTACACGTCTCACCACGAAAAATGGGGGGACTGTCGCCATAATAAATAGGACAAAAATACACACACACACACACACATCCTCTGTAGTTCTCTACTGGGTCGACGACAGAAATATCGGGGAGAAGCTCTCCGTTATGTCGTGTGATACAGAATGGGGGGGGCTTTTCACAGGGAACACGGTGCAGTGTCGGCTATTTTTGTTGCCAATAGTGGTGGTGGCCGCGTCGTTTCGTAATCCCTTTTTTTTTTTACCGCTGTTGCTGCCGTTGGCTGTGGTGTGTGTAGCTTAATCGGAGGCCGTTGGTGCACATTATTTGTCATCATCTGGATCCGCGCACCCCACTGCTGTTAATTTTTGTGAAAATCGAGAATGTCAAAAAAAAAAAAATGTCGCGATGTAGGTGGTGCCCATCATCGAGATCCCTGGCTACGGCAGCACGAGCGCGAAGCTCATGTGCGAGAAGCTCAAGATCAAGAGCTGCAAGGAGGCCGACAAGCTCAAGAAGGCCAAGGAAGAGGTGCGGATTGACGTAACACCGATAAAGGTAGCCGAAGCGGCAGCTACTGCTGTGGCTGCGTTATGTTTTTCGACAACATACATTATCCCAACCAAGTATTGCCCGTTCGAAAGGATGTCATGTGTGTGAGTCTCTACGGTGAGGGTTGAGGGAAACCTGGATTTCGAGTCTGTTTAGGACTTATACGTGTTAGCTTGTTTGTTCGTTTGATAGACTTGGCAAGGTTGGCACAATAGGTCCGTTCGATTTATGTATGATGTCCCTCGCACCCGGCGGTTGATTGTTGTTTCCCTTGTTTTTTCCATCTATTCCCGGTCGAATCAACACACACGACGGTTGAGGGCTGCGCATTTCTGCAGCGCCTTCTGAAAGTTTTTATTCAAGTATCTTTCGGCGTGTGGCGTTCCACACATGAATGGGTACAGTAGTGGAACAGCAAGTCGAAAAGTCGAAACTTGTGCCGTAATCCCGGTGAGCACGACCATTGTTGCGTCGCTGAAAACGAAAATCCCCGCTGTGAATATGAATGGTTGCGCACGCAGGTGTACCTCAAGGGCTTCTACGAGGGCGTTATGCTCATGGGGTCGTGCGCGGGCGAGAAGGTGTGCGACGCGAAGGTCAAGATCAGGAAGGAGCTCATGGACAAGGGGGATGCCATGCCCTTCTTCGAGCCGGAGTCGCTCGTCATGTCCAGGTATTGCACGACGCCCGACTGGTTCCGGAACCATGGCTGGAGGATTTAGCACTGGGTTGATAGATCTCTCCGTGACAGACCAAGTGGGACTGCGTGACCGCCACAAGCTGTTCTGGCGCATTTCTCACCGTAAAGGATTGTTGCCCGTTGGATTTTTCTGCCGTTTCATGCGGTGGAATAGGCGGAGACTTGGATCAAGCTGCCGCTGCGTTATTGTACCCCACGGTTGTGCTGATCGAATCGAGTCTCTTTCACGAGCTTTGCGCCATCTCCTGCGGTATCGCATGCCACGACTGCGTTGATTGAGTGGAGTCTATCTCACCTGCTGGCGCCCTTTCCTCTCGGGCGGTGCTGCTGTAAACGTGCAGGTCCGGCGAGGAGTGCATCGTGGCACTCAACGACCAGTGGTACCTTCCCTACGGGGACAAGGAGTGGGCGGGGCGTGTCAGCGAGCACGTCAACTCGGACAACTTCAAGGCCTACTCCCAGGTATCGTACCGTTTACTAAAGTATATATTTGCAGTCTTTTGAGGGCGATCGTGCTCTCTTAATGACGAACTTCGTTACATTTGCTCAAAAGTTACAGTAGACGCTTGCCTAAAAAAAGGGTCTCCTAAACTTCAGGAGTGAATGTAGCGAATGCGTCGTGCTTGCTTTCGAGGAAGGGGCACCGTATGTGTGAAGGGGCACGCCCACTCGGAGAATATGACGGACCCCCCCCTCAGATAATAACCGCTGCTGGTTTCCTCACAAACGAAATCAGCCGTGACGGTTGGCCAGAGGTAAATAATTGGTGGCGCGTCTCTTGTTTCTTTGCCGGGCTCGGTCTAGTAAGTGGGGTGTCTTGTGGCTGACAAAGCATCGGCTTTCTCTCGCCGCTTTTTCTTTTCTTGCCGCGCGCTCGTGTGTACGTGACGACGTCAAGCAGGCGTCGCTGACCAAGTTCAACTTTACCCTGGGCTGGCTCAAGGAGTGGGCCTGCACGAGGTTGTTCGGCCTGGGGACGCGGCTGCCGTGGGACGAGTCGTGGGTGATCGAGAGCCTCAGCGATTCCACCATCTACATGTGAGGTGCAATCTAGGAGCAAGTAGGTCGCGATGGGTCGACGCGAGGTGGTCGATAGGTGTCGGTGAAATCCCGAACTTTGGCAGCGCTGAGACTGGTGACGTATTTTCATTATGTAGTCGGCCGATGGTCACGGTCGATCCTAATAAAACACGCACACACACACACAATGCTGCCCCCTCACGGGGTCCCAGTTCATGGAAGATAGAAGTGCTTTGTGTTTTCAACCGCACTGAGACTGACGTCTTTTCATTGGTCAGCCGGTTAGCGCGGTCGATGCTAATAATAAAAGCACACACACACACACGGCCTGACCCAACCCCCCCCCACCCACCCAACTCTACACGACGCAGGGCCTACTACACCGTGGCGCATCTACTGCAAGGGGAGGACAACCTCGACGGCTCCAGCCCCGGACCCAGCGGCGTGGAGGCTGCGGCCATGGGGGACCGCGAGTGGGACTACGTGTTCCTGCAGGGGGCATACCCGGAGGGGTCGGGGGTGCCGGAGGCTAAGCTTGCGGAGATGAGGTGAGATACGACGTGTAGGATGTGTGTGTGTGTGTGTGTGTGTGTGTGTGTGTGTGTGTGCCTGTGTTTGTGGCTTTCGGCGTGTAGCGGACCGCTCGTCGGGGAGTACTCGTGTGTTTTTATGCCTCAGATGTTAGACCATTGACCGAGCGGGGGGGGGG